TACTAATAAATGGTTTTGATAATAAATATAATAACAAATTGCATTCAAGTAATTAACGCCATCTATTTAGTTATAAATAATTTTAAAAATTAAACATTTTATTATTCATCCTGCAATAGATGTAATAAATTTGATATCTTTTCTTCTCATTTTTTATGTGTTTTTAGGAAAGCTATTTTTTTTCTTTTTCGAAACAGTCTTGAGTTAAATTTTTAATACAAGTATATTTTTGATATTATTACAAACTACTATTATTTTAAAATATAATATACCAAGGTGGTGCGACAATATATAAAATCTTAATTGTTTCATCATATCATTCTGGTCCCTATTTTATAGTTAGAAAATATTTCATTTCTAATATGGCATTGCCGTGTAAATAATTCCAGGCTTCAATATATTTGCATAATTATTTCTTCCAAAGATTTTTAGTGTTTTTATTTTATCAATTTATCCAACATAATAAATTCTGATATTAGTTTACATCGTGAGTGTCATGGCTATTACTGCAAATTAACCAGCATCTATTATTTGTGTTGCTATGTAATTTAAGATTAACTATAACGGCCAAGAGCATATAATTGCATATTTTAGATAAACAATAATAGTCAACTGTGTAGTCTTTATATAGCATTAAAAATAGAAGATAATCTTTTAGAAATTTAATATCTCACAATAATTTTCTCGATTACTTATCTAGCTTCCATCATGTCATCTAAGAGGAAGCTCTAACCACCATATAGTTTTATGATTTAGATTGGTCGTTTATACTCTCTCCTTCAAAAATTGTTGATCTGGTTTAGGCCTATAAATTTTTCATTATTAGTCCATTCTATAAAACATTGTCTAAAGTGGTTACAGAGAATTATACTAGTTTAATAACCTTTTATCAATGTAAGTTGCTAAGAATTATATTATTGCATTATGTGATTTTTTATATGCCTGTTTATTTTGTATGCATAATATAATAAATGACAAAATATGAAAATCTGAATAATTATTCAGAGGTAACAAATTTTAAAAAAAGTATAATATATTAATATAAAACACGGCCGAATGCAGTGCAAAAGCGGGCCGAAGGCCCGCAAATTGGGCGGTATGGGGAACGAAGCCCCCTCATAAATTTTTTTTTAGTTGAGCCCCCTGAGATTGTGAAGGCTAGCGACGCCCCTGCATTAACCACATAGTTACCATCTGTATTATTTTGTAAATGGAATCCCTTTTATATACTCTCGATCTTAGATCATTTGGCTTTATCAGTATACTGCATTACGTTTCTAGTTGCCAGGATAAAATAATTTAAATTAAAATTTTCGTTAAGTGACGTAATTTATACGCTTGAAATGATCTATCTATAAATCAAAAGTGATTGAACAAAATTTTGATCCAGTATCAATCATATGTAAAACATGTGCCTTTATCATCAAAATAGTTAGAACTGAAATAAAACAAATTTTTAAACTTTCAAATTAAAGTTTTATATAATTAATTAAATTAATAAATAACTAAAAAGATACTCAAAAAAACATCAATTAAAGCTGGCAATAAACAAACTAGGGCGGTTTAAAACGTGTAAATCCATAATAAAATTAATATGTATTAATGCATGTGTAATTTTGAAATGATATGAATATAAATGATATCAGGGTTGGGCAAATTTTCAGAAAATTGTATTCGGATACAGATACAGATACTTTATAAAATTTTGTATTTAAGATACAAGATACTTTAGAAAAATTTCAATAAGATATAAGATACAAGATACTTGTATTTTTTTTAAAAAAAAGTATCTAAGATACAAGATACTTTTTTTAAAAATTTTAAATAGTCAAAATCAAAATGTATAAAGCTTTATTTTCTTATCTATAATATAAATTTATAAAAAATATTTAAAATAAATTGTAGAAAATAACAAATTTATTATTAAAGATAATGCGATATTCCATTTAATAATTATATAATTAGTAAATAATAATAAATCAGCATCATATATCAGCATTATTTTTTAATATTATTAATTTTTCAAATGATTTATCGTTCAATCTTTGACGATTTTGTTTATTAACCATATTAGCAAAGCTAAATAATCTTTCAACGGGGGCTGAGGAGGGTAATATTGTGTTATATTTAATAAATATTTCTTTTATATATTTATAACTATTTAACATATTTATACTCCGCCTGTCATCTTTCATATAATTTAGGACCTCTATTTCAATATCATTTATTGAATTATTAGAATTGGATGTGGTACTTTTAAGGCATAATCATCATCTTCATCATTAGAAGATTTTGTTGAAGTATTAATTTCAATATTATTTTTAAAAACAATTAAAACTTCATGTAATAACAAATCCTGAAGGTATTTTTTTTCTTTTTCACCATCAATCCAACGATTTTTAAAATAGGGATGAGAAATAGTTGCCAAAAATGCACTTTTAAAATTGTTATCAAAATCATATATATTTTTAAATCTTTTATTTAAATAATTTTCTATGGCAATAGCTAATGGTTTGCAAAATTGTGAATTAAATTTGTAATTTTTTTTAACGACATTTAAAATTGGAGCTGATTCTCCATAATAGCAGTTAATCTGTATTTTGTCAATCGCTATAGCCAATGGGGCCTTTATATTGCAATATTCTTCTAAATATTGAATTTCAAATTTTGATTAAATTTTTCATTTAAATCTTAAAACAATATCATTTTAAATTTTAATACTATTTAAATTAACCAATATAAATCTTTTTTAAAGTATCTGTATCTTTTTGAATACAAAGTTGGTTAAGATACAAATACTTTTAAATAATATGTATCTTAGATACTGGATACAAGATACTTTCCAAAATTTTAAAAAAGATTGTATCTTGTATCTTAGATACAAATATCCGCGATACTGCACACTATTCTATTATATGCCAAATACAATTCATATTATAATTTTATAATGTTAATATTCAAACTTAAATAAATATAATAAAATAGTATTCTAAAAATTATGCACGCCGGGCTACAGCCATAAGAAATCGGCGGCGAACCTAGTGCCGCTCATCTCAATCGACTGCTTTTCCGTTGTAAAAGCTGAATAAGAAAAGTGTAAAGTTTTTAAACTGGGGAAACGACTGAAGATCAATGGCCGAAATTAATACCATTGTGTAGCCCGTTAATTAATTCTAATTGATCCTCAAACGGGACAGCAGTGAGATTAACCTTTAGTGAGTTATAAACGAAAAAATATATTCACACTTTGCTAAAACTGAAAATAAGAGTGATCATGTTCTGAAACTTTGCCATTACTTAGTACTTAATTTGAGTATAATATTCTATAAACAAGATATCCATATCACTAACCGTTATCGAGTTTTAGCCATTTTAAAGGCGTGAAGTTGGCGAAATGACTTTAAAAAAGTGAGGATCAAATTTTAAAACTTATGAAGTTGCGTAGCCCGTTAATTGATCCTCCAGAGTCTTCAAACCACATACCAGCGAGATTAACCGATGGTGAGTTATAAATAAAAGAATAAGGTTCTGGCACTTTGCCAAAATCTAAAAGCAATCATTTTCTAGTTCGAGCACATATTTAGTGCCCTAATTGATCCTATTTATTCTTCAAACGGAATGTGAAAAAATTAACCGGAAGTAAGTTCAGCAAAATAAGAAAAGTATAAAATATAAAGCAGGCCAAACAACTCGTGGATCAATTACCAAAAAATTTGGCATTGTGTAACCCGTTAATTGATCTTGAAACCGGACAATAGCTAGATTAACGTTAGTGAGTTAAAATAAAAATATGGTATTGACACTTTGCCAAAATCAAAAATAAGAAAGATCATATTTGGAAACTTTGCCATTATTTTGTACTTAATTTGAGCTTTAATATTCTCTTAACCGGGTATCCATGTCACTCCGTTATCAAGTTATAGCCATTTTAAAAGCGTGAAATTGGTGAAATGTCTTAAAGAAAATGAAAATCAAATTCTGAAACTTATAGATTTGTGTAGTCCGCTAATTTATCTTCAAGAATATTTAAGTATACCAGTGAGACTAACCGTTTATGAATTATATGCAAAAATAAAAGGGTTTTGGAATTTTGTCAAAATCTAAAATTTTAGCAATCATTTTCTAGTTGAGGATATTTAATGCTTTAATTTCTTCCGTATTCTTCATTCACAAGCTTCAAAATCACACTTTTCTTATTTTGTTGATAACTCACTTCCGGTTAATTTTTTTGATCCTTTCGAAGAATACAGATAATCTTAAGGAAGTAAATATTTATTTGAAATAGAAAATGATTGCATTAATTTTAGATTTTGGCAAAGTGCCAAAACCCTTCTATTTTGCTCTTAATCTCGCATGCGGTTTGAAGATTCTGAGGTTCAATTAGCGGACTACAAAATTACATGAATTTCAGAATATAATCCTTACTTTCTTTAAGTCATTTCGCCAACTTCACGTATTTAAAATGGTTATAATTCGATAACAGTTAGTGATAAGGATATCTGGTTTAGAAAATATTAAAGCTCATATTAAGTACTAAATAATGGCAAAGCTTTAGAACATGATTTCTCTTATTTTCGATTTTGGCAAGTGCCAACACTTTCTTTTTTTGTTTATAATTCACTAACGGTTAATTTTGCTGTTGTCCGGTTTGAGGATCAATTAGGATCAAGGGCTGCACAGTGGCATAAGTTTCGATTGATCTTCAAGTCGTTTCGCCAGCTTCAAAATTTCACGCTTTTCTTATTTTGCTTATAAGTTCTAATCTTTAATTTCTCTGGTGTCTGGTTTGAAGATCATTTAGGATCAATTAAGACTCTAAATAATGGGATAAATTTCAGAATATGATCCACAAATCGTTTGTTAACTTCACGAACCTCCTAATTCTTAAAACTTTTGTTAAAATGAAATCATAATGGTATATTTTATTTATTCATTTATTTAAAATTATATTTTAATCATTTTATTTAGATAAAATACGCAAATTGATATAATATAGTCACAGTATGCGAATTGATATAAATAGTTTATAATAAATAAATATATTGAGTTTGATGCAGAATTTTTTTAGACGATATATTATGCAAATTATCGGAATATTTAATGAACCAATCATTTTCCATTACCGTTGATATTGTTGTGTAAACGTATGTGTTTGTTGAGATTGCTAGGATCCCCAAAACTTCGTTCGCAGTATTTGCACCTCAAAGGTTTGTAACCGGTGTGGGTTCTTAAATGAATTTTCAGACCGTATCTCCTGGAATAATATTTGCCACAAAATATGCACAAATGTTTATTTTGTGATTTACATTTCGTTTTGAATGACATCTTTTCCGAATTCTGACCCAGTTCTTTGGCACCTTTCTTGATTTTGTAAGAACAGTTATGTGATTTATCCTGGATTATTATTTTAGACCTCATTAGGTTCATGGTTGAGCTAAATTTATTTTTATCGATAGAACTAAAAGAAGACGCGCTATTATCATTGTCATCCATTGAAAATTCGTATTGCGTTAATTTGTCGGCTGGTAATAGCATTTTAAAATTGACCTTATTTATATCGATATCGGGATTTATTTGTTTAATATTAGATGATTTTGTAATTTCTCTCGAATTCGATCTGGCTAAGGGGTGGGGAGATAGCATAGGCGGCGTAGGAATGGCACAGGGTTGATTGTTAGATATGTTGATACCTAACAAGGATTCGATATAAAACTTTGGTTTATCACGTTTTTCATTTGTTATTTTTTCTGTTTTTATACCATTAGCATTATTACCATTATTGTTACTCACTACTACCGATTTAGGATTATACATAACTTTATTAGATAATTTTGATTTAATTTTATATTTCCTTTTTTCCTTAACGATTTTTTGGGTAGTTTGTAGCGAAACGGTATTGTCCTTATTATTAACGTTGTTTCCAAAATTTTGGACATTTCCTTTATGATTACATACCCAAGTCAATTCCTTCAACTGTGGTTTCGTAGGCTGAGCTGTCGACAAATTTATTTTCTTATTATTCGTACGTATAAACCTTCCTTCAAAGGAGCTAGGTTGATAACTGTTTATCTCTTCCGATGACTTACTTATACTATCGTAATGACGGATGTGAATGTTGCTATTTGTATTATTATTACTATTGATTAAATGTTTTTTGAAATAATTTCGATAATAGTTATAATAAATGGCCAGCGAATCATTATAATTAAATCCCTTACTAGGAACTACAGAACAATGATGCTGTCCTATGTTTCCATGCCTCTGTGAATTATTCGACATAGAATTCCATGTCATCATGCAATTCCCTAATCTAGGATAAAAGGAATTGGAGTCATAATCGCCGAGGATGTTAATGCTGTTTACGTGGTTATAATCGATAGGGTATTTTGGATCAAAAATTGTATTCATTATTTTTTTCTGCTAATTAATTTTTTTCGTCGAAAATATATTTGTGAGACAAGCGAATTTTTAGTTTGCCTATAATCTAGTTTAATTTAAATACAAAATATTATTATTAAATAATATTGAAAAAAAAGATATTTAAAAAAAAATATTAAATAGTAATTTATAAATGAGAATATAGTATTAAAATAATTCAGAAAAACTAGGTAAAAAGAATTATTTTTTTCAAGACTAAATTGAAAGAACGATTATAAAATATATCTACTAGAAATTCCCTCGCCGATTCATTCAACTTATCGAAAACCAAAACTTCTCTTTGAGAAAATAAACTTGATAATTTTTTTTTTATCAAACAAAAAATAACGCCATCATTGTTGCCAACCAATAACTATGGGAGGAAAAGGACATTTTAATATGTAAAGAAAGAATGGAAAATTAGATGCGTTTTTTCGAAATTGATAATATTATATAGAGTTATGGGAGTGGATTGACATGCTTAAAAAAGAAAAAAAAAGATTTTTCTTTAAAATAATATTAATAATAGGTAGTAAGAAAAAATGATTCGTGTTTTTAACTTATTGTATTTCATTTAAAATATTATTAAAAGTTTAATTTTTTTTTCTTTGGTTTTTTAAACTACTAATTCAATTCCCACATACTTTAAAATACAATTTATATATATTTTATATTTATCTTATGCGACCTTGGATTTATAGTATTTTCTAGTATAGTTTTAGTGTATGTTGTTTAAGTTGAAATTATATTCATAAATATGTTTTTTTTAAGTCGTATTACATTTATATATAAATATAATATAAATTTCATTTTATTAATTATCGTTATGATCTTATTTTTTTTACACAAAAAGCTTCTTAAAATATTATATATTGTTTAAGTATTATTAATGTATCATCTTAATATAATATAGTTGACATGGAATCAAATACGATCATATTCATATATTTGTTTTATATCGTTATGAATAATAATATACAATAAATGATTCATTTAGAGATTAAAGGGGGTAAAATAAAAAGAAGAAATTTTTGTGCAAACATTCTCATCGCAAGATAAAAAAATAAATAATACATTACGTGATAAGTAGTCAATTAATGATCAAACATAGAAAATTATTTTATAATTATGTTTAAACATTATTAGTATATATATCTTTATATTAGATAAAATTTGCCATTTTTTTCATGTAATGATTCCATTTTTGAATTAAAAAAAAAATTGAACTGATTATTTGAATCTATAATATAATATATAAGCCACTCAGTGGCACAAAGAATGTCGCTCTCACTTATATTATATATATACACTTTACCGACCAAACGTTTGCAAATGGACACATTTTATCACCATCTATAAGTGATATTTAACAAAAGTATTTATTATTTGAAAATGGAATAAGATGTCCAATATTGATATATATATATATATAAGATATAAATGGTATATATATTATGCCGCTATTTGTAAAGAAATGTTTTTTGTGAATATAACTGTTTATTCCTTTAACCGACTTAGACCAAATGTTTAAATCCGTCATTTTTTTTAATGTTAGAAAGAAAGAATCTTCAAAGAAATTTTTTCAAAAAATGAACTTCATATTTTATTTTAAAATGTTATATTTCATGTATGCAAATAAAATGCTATATATATACCTTTTTAAATAATAGGGCAGGTTGCTATAGATGAATTGGTTTGGTTATTATAAATAATATTTTATGGACTAAAATAACGATAAGATCTTATAAACTATTTATCAAGTTATCTATCCTAATTTTTGTTAAGGTTTTAATATACTGAAACATTTCCAAATATTGAAAGAGAGGTTTAACGATCATATAAAGAGAAAGTAGGGTTATATAAACATGGGGTTGTGCATTAATTTTTATTTATTATTTATATCCATCTCTACAATAGAAATTAATATTTAAGTTACTAAATAAAAGCTAAAGAAAAAATTTCAAAAAAAACCAAAAAAAATATGAAAAACAAAAAAATGAGAATGAAATACAAAAAATAACAATGCCGCCAAATACCTAAAACAAACCAAAATAGAGTGTCCTAGCTCAAAAGCTTTTTAACCTATACTAAAAAAAGAATAATTAAGTATCCAAATTAAATCGATGTCGAATCAGGAGTTTATATAAAATTTAAATAAAATGAAAATTTAGCAATTATTAAAAACACCAGGGGTGCCTTTTAGCCTTTGAATAAATGAAAATGCATTTTCAAGTATGATAAATGTAAGGTTCATCCATATTATATATTCCACCCGGAGAACTTGTCGCTTAAAACTGTCATATAATTTTTTAAAAAACAAGCCCATTTGTGACCATACACAACCTAACACACTCTTGGCTTCGGGCGTCCTTATAAATTAAATAAATATATATCCCTTATTAAAAATGACTAATACGTTCCCCGTCAAAAACATTTCCCAGGTCTTCACATTTAATATAAAGTTAATTTCAAGTATATTCGTTTTAAATTTTTTTGTTGATTAGAACATACCTGCCCCGGGATAACACTATTTCTGGTCTCCTCTATATATTCATATTTTCTAAACTAAAAATTATTATTTAGAACAGCTATTTGGGACTTTAAAAGGCGGAAATAGACTCAGGCCATTTTAAAATTTTAGAAAAATATAACCCTGGTCTCATTATATTTTTGGTCTCCCTTATTTAATATTTTTGTTCACAATCAGCTTCACATATCAAATATTTTAAACATCACTGGAATAAGAATTCTATATTTGATTCAGGAAATATTTATACAATATCGGGTATAAGATAACGAAATAGCTAAAAAAAATCACACCTTTATTTTAGTTTTTGAAATAGTGTTGTTTTTGCTGCTTTTAGTTCGATATTTAGGTTTTTCGTTAACCAAATTTTTTTTAACTTAATTGTGTATTTGACCGGTCAAATTCTTTAATATTTTTTAATCAATTTTTATGTTGTCGAGATCTTTAATCGATTTCTGTTTTAGTAATTAACCTAAATCGACCAATTTCTTTTAAGAAGAAGTAGAAATAGGTATTGTTAGTAAAAAGTCATTTCTATCAACGGGCATGTTGTGTAAGGCCTATTCCACTAACTTGAGGCTGGAATTTGTTGCTTTCCATAAATTTACTATTAAACAAGTCCTATTTACTTTGGAAATACATGATATCACTTGAAATATTTTTATCATCACCAATGTTATTAAACGCGCCGATTTTGGTCGATTTTTTAAAAACAATCTGATTAAGATTTTAGCCAAAATAACCAAAATAATATTATGTAAACCTTGATATTTGACAAATAGAGGTCCAAACCTTTCTGTTATCATCTATAAGCAAATTCTCATTTTATATTACATATACTTCATTAAATTTACTACTAGTAAGATGCATCCCTTGATATTGGGGGACCCAATAAATAAACAGCATGTGATCACATGTACTTCTATCGTTTTTTTTTCAAGTATATTTTTATTTTTTTTTCTTTCGACTTTTTCGAGTATTTGACCTTATTTGACCAGGTCAAATACTCCTCAGTTTAATTGACCGACTTACATATATTATTTACTTAAAATTATCAAGTAGTTTTGATTTTTATGGCATTGTTTTTTAGGGTTCGCGATCTCCCGTCTTTCCTGCCTATTTGTAAATTTGCTTATATTTAAAAAAACAAATATGAGTTCTTTTTTCTTTATACAATTCATAATAACGAATAAAATATTTTAATATGTCCTGATTTTAAAAAAAGAATTATTTTTTTGAGTTATTAACTTGCAATTAATAAAATTTGGAAAGTGTTCTTGTACCATCATAATTAGGTTTATTGTTTAAAAGTGTTATTATATTATAGAAAAATGAATCAATTATCTATCTTTTTAAGAAATATTAAATTCATTTGTAAGAAAAAATTGTTTGTTCATTTAAGACATTTATATTAGTTATTTTTAAAAAGAAAATTATTTTCCAGAATATTTTAAAGAAAAAAAAATAGACTTTCGCGATTTTGATTTATCTATTTAGTGGGCCGCAAAATCTTAAGGGTGTTTTGGTTTTGTCCGAATTTTTGACGCACTTTCTTTGTTTAAGGAGCGAAACATGGAAGTTATATTATTTAATTTTTTTTATAAAATTTATATTTTTATGTTAAATACATTTTTTTCAATTATTTGAGCAGGACCCGAGCAAAAATAAAAAAATTGTTTTTCCGGGATGGGGGAGGGGGTTAAAAATTCTGCCTCATTTCTCATATAAGTCAATGGCCCTAGTGGCTCAAGGAAGTATAAGGTGAGGAGGAGGAGTCACTGCCTTTTTTAAAAGTAAAAACTATTTTTGTTATCTTTATTAATTGGCGACAATGTTAAAAGATAGAAAAGCTCAGCTTTTACTTTGAAAGAAAACTTTTTTTTTAGAAAGTAGGTTCGCTACTTTTAACGCTATTTTATAAAAAAAATTATTATATTTTTTTAATATATCTAATCTATGTCCATAAAATTAGCATTTCAAATTCAAATATATAAAAATATTTATATGAAAAATAATGGCATTTTATTTCTTAATAATAAAATCATAACTGCATCACTCCAAGTTTATCTCGGGGATCAGAAAGTATAAGTGTTTGCCTTAATAAATAATTGTTGTATCCAGGATTGGGTATTTGACCGGTCAAATACAATTTGGTCAATTAACCAATATTTGACTGGGTAAACACGGCCAAATATGGTTATATTTAAAAATAAAAATTTTTAGGTATATTTTTTAAATTCATTGTCATTCTATAATTAATGTTTCGCTCTCCGTGGCAAAGTCTTATTCTTATTCTAATTATCATTTTCTTTCCAATATTCCTGGTGTCGAGGTCTTCAATTGATTTTTGTTTTTCGTGTGAATTTTTAACCCCAAATCGACTAATTTCTTTCTGAAGAAACATAAAATAAACTAATTAATTTTTTCGTTACTTCTAAAAAATGATTTTTTTTAAAAACTAATTACGTTATTTGCTACTAGATACTTTAGCAACACGACTAATAAATTTAGCAAGTATATATTTTATAATTTTCCCCTAT